GGGGGGGGGGGGGGAGCAAAAAAAGTTTACAGCCATCCCAAGTATTCGACGCGTGCCAGCAATTTGGGTGGATTTTGACGATTCGCGATCGCCTGTAAACGCATTCTCGAGTAATATACATATACGCGGTGTGCAGAAATAGCTTGGCTCTTTGTACGCGTAGGTACATAGGGATAAAGGAAAGTGAACCTCGAGATTGTTCTTTTTATATCTATCTATATTTTATATATTATATGTATACGTCGTTAACACATTGTATACGTCATGTCCTGCAGCTCTGCTCACCCAACAAAACCCTTTTTTGTTTCTCTCTCTCTTTTGTCACCCACGTTTGTTATAATCTCCTAAACGGACTTCAGTGAAGAACCACAATATTTGGCACTTTTCTTTCACACGCCCTCGGGTCTCATTTCTAATATCCATTTGTACATTGTATACATGCGAATCGAAAATTTTTTTTTCTTTAAATAACAAAACAACAGCAACAATATTTATGTACATACAATATAATATAATTCACTGAAGATCCTTCAAAATAATAATACAACCACTCGTCTTGATGTGCAGTCCAATGTGTCTTGAATCACACCCCTTGTTCGTGTCTCTCACACCAACGTGTTCCTTTTTTTTTTTTTTTTTTTCCTGTTTGTCAATAATCATTAATAACGAATGAGAGTTTTAGTTTCATTTTTTTTTCTTCTGTCGGTTTCGCTGCGCGATTTATTCACAATGTACATATAACAGGAGAGCCGGACGCCTTTGGTGCAATAATCATAATTTATTTGTTTTGTGTACTGTCCAGCAACTTTACTTGTGTCCGTACCGATTGTGCAGTGGGCGATATTCACCTACGTGTTTTTTGGCAACAATCACAGCAGTAATCGCTCGAAAGTCGCGCATTTACACTTTTTTTCTGGAAAGTATCAATAATACGCGTGTTTATGGGTACATATGAATCACATGGAATAAAAAAAGTACATCCGAAAATTTTTTTTTTTTCACTAAAAGTACCGTCGACGCATCTCCGACCCAATTCCGAAATCGTGTCAAACACTGACACGCCGAGGCCTTGGGGAAATTTAAACTCGGCGCCTCGTGACGTCCACCGCCAAAACCCAACGGCTCCTCGACGTCGCCGGTGCTTCGGACGATTTCAAGTTTTTTTGTACACTTTTTCTCAGAGATCCTAGATTTTTCTCTCTGTTTTTTTCTTTTCATTTCAACCTATTTTTTCCGTATATATAATTATACGAAAAGACGCCAAATTTCGTTTTTTTTTTTTTTTTTCACTTCCGCTTTACTTCTCTACCTTCTCAATTTCTGCTGTGTATTAAAACCGCGAAAAATAAATAAACGAACGGATAAAGAGAAAACCCAAATCACACAAAAAAAAAAAAAAAAATCTCAAGCACAAAGCTTTACGCAAATATAAATATAAGCACGGCCTCTCTCTACATTACACATGCGAAGTCGATTGTCGATTAATACACTTGCGCTACAACAGCATACACACACATAGCAACAGCTTTACGTTTGCCTAATTTTTTTTTCTTCTTCTTCTACCACACGTTTTAACGCCTCGCGCTGTGTATTATTTGTCAGCAGCGTCGTGCGCTTCATTATATGTCTTGTAAGTTTGCGCATTTGAAAAAAAAAAAAAAAAAAAAAAAAAGCAAAAGCAAAAAGCTGATGTGTCTGTCTATTGTGTGGCCGTATATTATGTATGTTATGTGTGTATACACGCATTTGCTGCGCGTTACGTCCGCTTGTCCGCGCCGCTGAGAAAATATTATACGAGTACGTATAAAGATGAGGGAAGAAATGGAGGAAATAAGGAAGGAGTATGAAAGGCGGACGGACAGTAGTATATAAGCGGATGCAGCGTTTATACACGTGTACATATGATGGCTGTAGTGCGAGAAAGAGCTGTAAGGTCAAAGTGGCCGTGCTGGGAAACTAAAGAGACATGTACTTTTGTTGTTTTCGCTTCGTCGCGGCATCAGGGAATCCGGCGAGAATCCGGAGTTTATGAAGGTGAGACTTGCAATTTTTCCTACGATATAATTATGCAAGGGAGAAAGAATGGATTGAAAACGAGTGACCTCGTTTTGCAGAGACAAGAACAGAAGAGGAGTGATCTTGACGAGCAGCTCAAGGAATATATCGCGGAATGGAGAAAACAGAGGGCAAAGGAGGAAGAGGAGCTGAAGCGGCTGAAGGTGCGTTTTTCTTACTTTTTTTTTCCCCCCTCTCTCTCTCTCTCTCTCTCTCTCTCTCTATGGCTCACTGGATTAACCATCGTTGAAACAGGAGAAGCAAGCGAAGCGCAAGATCTCGCGCGCCGAGGAGGAGAAGCGACTGGCCCAAAAGAAAAAGGAGGAGGAGGAGCGCCGCCAACGTGAGATCGGTAACGTGTCCCTTTTATTATTGTCCAACTTGTAAATATACATCGTCAAGTCGATGGTGGTGAAACCGTGGTGATTTGCAGAGGAGAAGAAACAACGGGATATCGAGGAGAAGAGGAGACGCCTGGAGGAGTCGGAGAAGAAGCGCCAGGCCATGATGCAGGCGATGAAGGACCAAGCGAGCAAGAAAGGCCCCAACTTCACCATCCAGAAGAAAGACCTATCTGTTAGTCCTACGACACACCTTAAAAAATCCGATAACGATATTTGACACATTTTTCATGTCCACTCGTGTTACGTACAGGGCAACCTCACGTCAGCACAGCTCGAACGCAACAAGACGAAAGAGCAGCTCGAGGAGGAGAAGAAAATATCACTGAGCATCCGCATCAAGCCCTTGGAAATCGAGAACCTCAACATCGACAAGCTGCGCAACAAAGCGACCGAGCTCTGGGAGGCCATCGTCAAACTTGAGACCGAAAAGTACGATCTTGAGGAGCGCCAGAAGCGCCAGGACTACGATGTGAGTCCCTTTTCCTCGTGACAAGTACGCGCACGTAAAGACATTTTTTAATTGAAAAAAAAAAATAAAAAAAAATACAAAATTACAGCTCAAGGAACTCAAGGAGCGACAAAAGCAGCAGCTCAGGCACAAGGCCCTCAAAAAGGGCTTGGACCCCGAAGCCCTCACGGGCAAATATCCCGTGAGTGTCCACATACTACAACACAAAATATATATATATATAGCTCGGCTCGGGCATTAATAGACGAATTTGCCAAGAAAACTCGGCATGATTGATCACGCGAGACCCGCAACTAAATATCGGAGGATTAATTGGAAAAGCAGTCGCGTGTCTCAAACCCTGGCTCGTTGACTGTTTGGCGCGAGGGGGGGGGGGGGGAGCAAAAAAAGTTTACAGCCATCCCAAGTATTCGACGCGTGCCAGCAATTTGGGTGGATTTTGACGATTCGCGATCGCCTGTAAACGCATTCTCGAGTAATATACATATACGCGGTGTGCAGAAATAGCTTGGCTCTTTGTACGCGTAGGTACATAGGGATAAAGGAAAGTCTGATCGAGGAGTCATTTTTTTTTTTTTTTTCCAGCCCAAAATCCAAGTGGCCTCCAAATACGAGCGTCGCGTGGATACCAGGTCTTACGACGACAAGAAGAAACTGTTCGAAGGCGTGAGTATTGTGCCTCCCTGAACCACTGAAAGACAAACTATATATCGATACACCCCCCTTCCCTACCAATTGTAGTTTTGAAGAAAAAAAAAAAAAAAATAGAATCCCTGCACGAGACAACAACACGAAATCACAGACAAAAGCACCAATTTTGATTTATATATTTCAATGTGAACAGAATAAAAACGCGAAATGTTATTGTTAATCAAATCTTAGGGCTATAATACGCTCTTCGCGGAGTACCAAGAGAAACTTTGGAAACAGAAAATGGAACAGTTCATGAAACGCACAAAAAGTGAGTTAGACAAGTTGCAAGAAAAAAAAAAAAAATAAAAATAAAAACCACCACACAAAGTAGAGTCCCCCTCAATCCCCTTGACGTTTAGATCACTTTTTTTTTCTTTCTTTTTTTTTTTTTTCATTCTCTTAACGTGTTTTGGTTTGCTTTTGACACTTTGTTGTTCCACATTCATCCCCCGTCGTTAATAATTCACACTCACTATTGAAAAAATCCCCTCATCATCGAAAACATTTGTTCTCCATCCCCCCCTTTATGATATCCTGTAAATAGTAGTTGAATCGAAACAGCCCTTTGATCCCAAGTGACTGACCATTCGATATGGAGAGGAACGAAAGAAAAAAAAATCAATAATATAGTGGTCCGTATATCTTTATACATCCAAGTGAAAAGAAACAGTTGACTTGTCCCGATTTTGTCTAGTATTAACGACGTAACAATGAAAAACTCGTAACATTACCACCAACCCTGTATAATATACCGATGAGAGGTTCTTGGAGAGTGAGATCCCCGCAGGCGGAGAGGAGGAGGAGGAGGATGAGGAAAGCGATGGTTGTCCCTTGAGTGTGAGAGTCCCAGCATGCGATGGGTTTTCGTCCGTTGTTGTTACAGGGCCTGACGGACGCCCAGAAGGAAGCGATGGAGAAGCAATGGTCCCAGGCTAAGGAACAGTTCCAAGGCCGCCAGAAGAGTACGTATATACGACCGATGACCGGCATCAGAGACGCTTTTCGCTGCAGCTTCGCCCCCATCCCCCTATCCTTCAAACCGGACCCCCTTTGATTTTCTTACATTTTCACTCCCCATCGTCCCAATAACCCTAACTATATGACTAACGCGTGTACAAGTCTGACATTAACTCGTCGCCAACAGCCACCAGAACCGGCGAGGGACAAACGCGAGAGATCGATTAGTTTATGTGCCGATTATTCGTGGTTGTCCGTCAAAGGTCAACCGCTCGCTACATGTTGAAATTAACCGAGTTATTGATTATGAGGAAAAAAAAAAATAAAATAAAATGAATAAATAAATAAATAAAATAAAAATGACAATGACAAACAGCGAAGCTGCCCAAGTGGTTCGGCGAGAGGCCGGGCAAGAAGGCCGGGGATCCAGAGTCGCCCGAGGGCGAGGAGGACGTGAAGGCGGCCATCGACGACGACCTGGAGGAGCCGCAGTTCGACGAGGAAGAGGAGGAGGAGGAGGAGGTCAGCGAGAAGGAAGAGGAGGAGGAGGAAGAGGAGGCCGAGGAGGAAGAAGAGGAAGAGGAGGAGGAAGAAGAAGAGGAGGAGGAAGAAGAAGAGGAGGAGGAGGAAGAGGAGGAGGAGGAAGAGTAAAACGCCAGCGACGAATCAACAGTTGCGTTTTCAAAATAAAAATAAAAAAACAATCATCGACATCCCAATCGCGAGCTCCGGAAAAACTATACTATATACCACTACCACGCTATTTATTACTATACTGTCGTCTATTTACACATACATACATACGTACATATGCACGCAAACACCTACGACACACACACACACACCTTACCCCCCTCTCTCTCGCTCACTCATGGATATATATATATATATATATATATATAAACACATCAAAACTGCATAACAACAATAACAGAGAATACATGAGTTTAACAAAATTTCTATAACTATGTTCGTTTTGTTTATTATCATTATTACTATTATTATTGTCATTATACTAAATATATGATTGTACTTATAATTTTCACTCGATAAGCATCATTGTATTACGAGACGGAGAAGCAGCAACGCGTCACATATGTGTATGAATTTTCTCTCTCTCTCTCTCTCTCTATCTATTTTTCTCCATATTTTCACAATCATATATACTTCTCTCTTGCACTATTTTTATTAAACGTTTTTTTTTTCTTCTTTTAATTATGATTAAATTTTTTCCTCGAGTGTGTGTGTCTGTGAAGCGACGTATTTAGATTTTTTGCATGTGGCGCGCACGAGGATATTTTTTTTT